CCTGGGATTGCAGGTTCCCAGCTGACCTTCTGTTATTCTGAGGTCTCTCCAAGCTGGCCTTGGCCCCAGCTGTCCAGCTGCAGGTCCCATGGCCACTGCCTGATACGCTAACCAGGCAGGTACTAGCCAGACTGCAGGCCACACGGTCCTCCAGAGCCGGACTGAGCTGGGGGGTCTGGGTGCTGCTGCCTGCAGACCTTTGCTCTATGCTGCCAGCAGGGAGGGTCCTTCCCTCTCCCCATTTGTTTGTCTTCATTTATATCTATTTGATCTCGTGGGTTATTTTATTCGTAGGTTAAGATCCATCTCTGTCCATGTTGTTTATCTTTTTGAGGTCCAAACAGTCCCAGATTTGGCCAGTGGCAGCCTGTTTGAGGTGGTCTTGTCTTTTTGACCCGGCCCTCCTCATGGGGGAAGAGAGGCTTGTGTGTGCATGCCTGCACATGTGTACGCACATGGGTCTGCTCTCCCTGATTGCAGTCAGCCCGGGAATAGCCTGGCCTGTTACTTTTTGCACATGCAAATCCTTCCCGGACTCTGAGCCTGGCTCCTGTTATCTTTGGTATGGTTGTGGTATTTTGGCTACCCTCCCTGTGGGTAATGACCTCCTGAGGACACTGTCCTCCTCCAGGCCAGTGCTTCCCCAGCCCCTTCCTGTGCACTCCCCTCCCCACCTCTGTGGGAGGGAAGGGAAGCCTATGGCTTTCCAGCCAGGCCACAAGGAGGCAGAAGCTAGTTTCACTTTGTGGCCTCTCACAGGCACTTGACCACTGAGCATTCCTCCAGCCTGAGAGGCGGTTTCTAGGCTAGAAGCTCTTGGCGCCCATCAGCCCCTGTGCCCTTCACCTTCCATGCAATCTTTGTTGGCCTGGAAGAGTCCTGTGTTTCCATGGCAGCTTGTCCCTCTGTCACCACCTGCTATGGTCTGTCCCCCCAACATTCATATGTTGGAACCCTAACCCCGAGGTGATGGCATCAGGAGCCCGAGAGGCTCCTGGCCTCCTCCACCACGTGAGGTGCAGCGGGAAGCTGCCATCTGTGAGCCTTCACCAGACGCCAGGCCTGCGGCGCCTCATCTCAGACTTCTCAGCCTCCAGAAAGGTGGGAAATACATGTCTATTGCTGATGAGGCACCGGTCTCTGGAGTTTGTTGCAGCTGCCCTAAGGGACTCAGACATCTCCCTTCATAGTTCCCACGCTAGATGTTGAACTTGTCTTGCTCTTGAGTCTTCAGCCCTGGAGAATGCCGTCCATGTCACTCGTGCTGGTCCTTGCATGGGCTCTTCCTGGGGTCGGATAGCACGTGTAGAACTGAAGGCAGCAGCCATTTAGACCAGGGGGAATGGCTTCCTCTCTGAGCAGAACCCTCTATCTCCAGCTCTGAAGCTGTGCCCCATGGCCTGCAGGAAGACACGTGTTGATCGGAGCTTCCCTTCCTGACATTCTAGTGGCAGAGCAACCCTGCGCTGGCCCATGTTCACCGTGGGCTGACCCAGCAGCTGGCGGCTGAACTCTCTGAAAACTATTTCAGACACTCTAGACTAGTGCCACCACAGTACAACTTAGGTTGTACCTTTTGTAACCTCTGCCGGTTGGTCTGAGAAGAGGAGTTTTATTTGAATCCCTCCATAGCCTGAGATGTCAGATGTCAGCCATCTGAAGCATACCTGGGTCACCAGGAAATAAGACAGAGAAGCCCCAGAGCTGGTGGTCCAGTGTGAATTTGATAGCGTATGAATGTCCTGAAGTTCGGCCTGCTGTCCGTGTCTGGGAGGCGGCTAGCCCTTTACTTAGCGCTTATTAACTCTCCATCTGTGCCCTGTTCTGACACCCTGGCTGTGTTTTAGTCTGTGGAGAGTCAGAGCAGAGAACTTGAGGGCTCAGGCAGGAGATGGAGCGGGCCTGGGAAGCAGAAGGGAAGCCGACAGCCTGAGAGCAGGAGGGTCGAGACTGGGTCAGGAGTCCCTGGTCACGTGGCCTGGAGCCTCCATTCTCACAGAGGGAGAGGCTGGAGCCAGGGAGGGTGCCTGGCGGAGAGCCCAGGGCGGGGTGGCCTGGGAGCCAGCTCCTGACTTCACACACGAGTGTTGTTTTAGTGCCCTGGCGGCTGGGCAGGATGCTGATCAGATGTCATCGAGAAACTATTTAATTATGTTGAGGATTCTCCATTCAGAAGAAGTCAGGGAAGTGTCCAATATGCTTTGAAAAATAATTTCATCCCAAAGAGTCAGAAATGCCATCCTGAAGCCCGTGTGGGCAGATAAGTGTATTCTGAAAATTCTCCTTCGTTTTCCTCAGTGATGCCTCCTGAGCGCACCGTGGGTGGGTTTCTGCCCTGGAATGAGGCTGGGCACGCTTGGGACTCCAGAGCTGGGGAGCCGCCGTTGTTCTGGTCATCTCCATCAAGTCCAGCTTTCCCTGAGCTGAGTTTAAGAGTCTCTTAAACATGTTTTCTTATTTATTTTGATTGCAAGAGCAAAATGCATTCAGCATAGAGCCAGAAAAGGGAAACAAATTCCATGAAGAAAGAAGAACACTCATCCTTTCACTTCTGAGAAGGAAGTGCTGTCAACACGGAGGCATTTATCCTGCGTGGTTTGCTGCCACATCCTCTGTGTGCCTTCATGGAATATACTCTTCCGTGCACGCAGGCACCTGAGATCTGACTGTGCTAAAATAGCATTGACCCTACTTCCAGTTGGTGATGAACATGTCTATCTCTAGATGCGTGAAGATCTACCTTATTTATTTATTTCTGTGGTCCTATGGATTGAAGCCAGGGGCACCTTACCACTAAATTACACTCCCAACCCTCTTTATTTCATTTTGAGACAGGATCTTGCTAAGATGCTGAGGTTGACCTTGAACTTTCGATCCTCCTGTCTCAGCCTCCTGAGTGGCTGGGATTACACATATGTGACACTGTGCCTTGATTTGGTTAGCAGTCCCTTGCTGTTGGACATTTTGGTTGTGACAGTTCTTTTGCATTAGTGATTGTGGCTGAGATCTGCCTCCCCCTCCATTATCTCCTTAAAATAAACTCTTGGAAGTCCATGGCTGTGTCAGAGGAAAGAAAGGCTTCTCTGGTGTTCAGAGTGTGTTGCCAAAACTCCCAGACTGATTTTCTGCTCTGACTTCATGATGCTGGGAAGTCCATCTTGCCCGTAGTTTAGTATTGTCCAAATTGTGATGCCCAGAAGACATCCCAAATTCCTGCCGTATCCCCCCGCTGGGTTCCACCCTCCTCCCTCTCCTTGCACAGACTTCTCTCTGACTGGGTGGGCACCAGGCTCCAGAGTCTTGTCCCTGGGGAATCGGCACGATGCTGGGAACACGGAGCGCCGACAGTGATGTGTGGGCACATGAGTGCGCGGGTCCAGTGGTATTTAGAGTGTAGCTGGGGAAGTTACCCTGGGCCTCCTCATCCTCGTTCATCTCGATGCCAAGGGCCGCGCTTGGTGGCTGAACATTCTACAGACGCTTCTGGCTGATCCTGGCTTAGGACCGAGTCCCAGTTGCCCTACCTGGCCTCGCGATCTGCCCCGTCTACTCTGCCTTTGTAGTCTTCCCTTCTCTAGCTACACTCCCATTCCACGACCTTCAGCTGATCCTCCACCATGCCAAACTCCTTCCAGATCGTGACTCTTTCATATAGCGCGTGGCTCCCTATGCTGGCGGACACTCACCTTTTTCTTACTCTTCCACATTTGGGATGCAGCCAATCGCTGTGACAAAGAACAAGGCTCCTATGGTCAGGCTGGGGTTTGTACCCTGGATCTGCCATACAGCAGCTATGCCACTTTGGACAAGTTACTCAGCCTCTCTGAACCTTAGTAAGGGGGATAATAATAGTAACCACCTCATGGGGTTGTTTGAGGACCAAATATGGCAATATATATATAAGCACTCAGAAGAAATCCTGGCACACAGTAAGCATCAGCAAACACTTGCTGTCCAGGGCCGGCCAGCTGGCCTCCGCTTACTCACCCCTCACAAAGAAGATTTTCCTGACTCCGAGTCTGGGCCAGGAACTCCTATTTATGCTCTCACGGCCATGTGTACCTTCCTTTTTAGCAGTGACAGCAATTGTTACTACATACATAAGCATTTTGAAGATGTCTACCTATTGCCTGAGACTATAAGCTGCACAAGGGACCTATCTCTAGCTCACGGCACAGGACTCGGGTTCAATAAGCACCTGCTCAGGGAATGATAGTGACAGTCCCATTACTGTGCCTGTGAGTGGAGCAGCCACTCCTCCCGGAGGTAGAGCAAGCTGCTCGTGGCAGCCCTGGCTGCAGCCATGGCCAGAGGGCTCCCTGTAGGATCCCCCGTGTGTCAGGCCTGTGTCTTGGGCCAGCCTGCTCTTGGGGTCTTCTGTGTGTGTTTCTCAGTGAGGGACTAGTGCAGTTTTTAAATTTCTAACTTGTCACATCAGAACTTTTGAGAATATAATGAAATAAATTACTAGAAAAATGGAACGTGACTCCAGCCCAGGGTTTCCCAACATTGACACTTGATTTTCAGGGCTAGGTAATCCTTTGACACAGAGGTCTGTCCCCTGTGTTGTAGGGTGCCTAGCAGCCTTGGCCTGTACCCACTAGTTGCCTGTAGCACCTCAACCCCAAGCTGTGACGGCCAAAAATGTCTCCAGACATTGCTAGTGTCCCCTGGAGGCAAACGTCATCTCCGACTGAGAACCACTAATGAAGACTTGCAAAACATAAGCCCTGATGTTCTGTGATTAGATTCAGCAGACATCAACTTCCTCTCTCAGATTGCTATAAAGGTTTCTAAGCCCTTCCCCTGGGTTTCTGAATACAACTTATCACAGGCCAATGACCGACCCTTCCTGGACCTGGCCATGTGCAGCCATCCTGTGAGCAGCTCAGACCCTACTTCATAGAGGGGGAAACAGGCTGCTCAGGGTTGGCTAGAAGGTGCTGTTAACACACGTGAAACTTCCAGGGCATTTCTGAGGTCTTTCTCTCTCTCCCCAGCACCCCTGCCACAGATGATGTCATCCAGCCAGCTGCAGGCCTGAGAAACCTGCCCCTAGTGGCCTCTTCCCGCCATGATGACGCCATCGGCCAGGTCTCCACGGGTCTGACAGCCCAGAGGTACAGTGGGGGCTGAGATGGGGCTGGTGCTGGGACCCCAGGACACTCCCTGAGGCTGCCTCCCTCCCTCCCCTCTTATCTGCAGTTCTGCTCCCTGTCCCCACGCAGGGTCTGCATACCTGTCCCCCACAGGTTCATGTCAGGGCTTGGCCTCTTCTCATGGCCTTGGGGACGATCTGAGGGGACTCTGGGGAGACCCCCCTGCCACTACACTCACACAGCCCATTTTAGAGGTTTGTTGTCTTGTAACATTTAGGGGTGTCTATTGAAACAGGGGTCTCTGTGGAAACAGAGGCTCCGGAGGCTGTGGCAGGAGGGCTGCAGTTCAAGGCCAGCCTTGGCAATTTAGCAAGGCCTTAAGCAACTTAGCAAGACTCAGTTTCAAAATAAAAACATTTGAAAAGCTGGAGATGTGACTCAGTGGTAAAGGGCCTCTGGGTTCAGTTTCCAGTACCTAAAAAGAAAGTAAACTGTGCTTCTAAAACATGGCCCAGAGTGTGGGAATGTTATGACTTGAACCAGATTAGAGGGGAAAGGTGTGTGCTACCCCCTCCCTAGTCGCCTCTCTTGGGACAGGTGGGTGCAGACAGGCGGGTGGCCAACAGCATGGAGTGGCCTCTTCATACACTGGGGTATCTGCCTGTGGAAGAGATACAAGGGGGTGAAGCAGCAGGAAGGTGCCGGCCAGAAGCAGATTCCAAAGCAGCATTATGTGGACGTGGAATTCTGAATGTTCCCCGTCCAGGTGGAGGTCAGCCATAGTTCTTAACTGTGAGTCTAACTTTTTAAAGGAGAGATCATGGCCGGGAACTAGGCTCACAGCGGTCAGGAGTACAGGAAAGCTGGAAGTCGGGGACCCTGCTACCTCTTTCCTGCTTCCTCCTTCCTCCACAGTGCTCCCAGTTAACCCCCAGTGTTAGGAAGGGGCCCTGGGCTGAGTCTGAGGGGAGGCTTGAGGAACCCTGGAAGGGCCCCTCTGAAGCTTCATCTTACAGTCAGGGCGCACAGGGGCACAAGGACCCCAGAGCAGAGGCTGGAGGAGGATCTGGCTGGATGGCTCTTGGGAGAACCAAGTCCAGCGAGGGGATGAGGGTGGTGACAGGCGCTTCTGAAGTCCCTCTTGTTCCCTGGGACTGTGTTTTAATAGCTGTCCCAGGCCCCTTTGCCCGGATACCTCCTGTCTATGTGCCACCCTGAGGTCTCTGAGTCCTCGCAGCAGTGTAGGAGGTGGAGGTACCATTCCCGCTGTGTGTCACCCACGTGCAGACTTGGCTCACTTGGTTCCTAAGTGGCAGAGCTGGGTTGAAGCTGGGGTGGGGGTAGAGCCCCTCCCTGGCAGATGACCATGTCCATCTATAGCCCTGTCGGTTGACCGCAGAGTGCAGGAGGGGGCAGGTGACAAAGCATAGATTCTCTCGGTGCTGCTGGGAACTCAGCAGCTCCCCCACTGTCTCTCCCAGAGGGGAGGCTGGGGAGAACCCTAGGCGGGGTGAAGTGTGAGTAAAATAGGAGGTGACCGCTACAAAACCTGGGGAGGACAGAGAAGCAAGCATTTATCCAATCAGATCGTCCGGCTGTTCTCAGTGGGTCAGTGGGAAAGAGGCAGTTCTGGTAGGAGCAGGGCTTGGCCGGTCTCACTTGGGTCCCCCCAGGGCTCCACGAAATCCATCCTCCTCATTCAGTTCCACATTTGTGAACTGGCTCGCAGAGATTTGCTTCTAACCCCAGAGTCAGAACTCGTGGCTCTTCCTCAGTCTCGTGCAGACACCTGCCGAGTGGTGAAAATCGGGGTCGCATGGCACACGCGTTCTCAGCCGAGGTCGGACGAGGCCCCGCTGGCTGTCTTCACCACATTTGGCCTTTCTGTGAGCAAGAGTCCTTTTCACAGGTCGCTGGCAGTTCCTGTGCTATTGTTGGTGGTGTTGCTGTTTGTTTCGGTGTCCCAGTGCTGTCCTACGTGCAAGAAGGCCGTGGGTGACGTGCCCGTGGGAGAAGACGCATGATAGGCAAGCTCCGCTCTGGCCTAGTCGGGGTGCAGTTGGCGTGAGCTCCAGGTTACCGACCCTAGGACACCTTGAAAGGGAAATGCACACACAAGCTCACTGTTGATAGGTTGGCTGACTCAAGTGTTGCGTCAGAGGCTCTCGGGGACCAACCTTGTCCTTGAGGACGAGGAGCCCCGAGAGCCAAGGTTTAGTGTTGGCAGATTCAGGTTCACAGACTTTATCAAGTACAGCAAGAAGCAACAGACTCCTGCGGATCTGTCAGAGTGGAGGAGGGGACATTCTGGGGGTGCAGTGGTGACAGTTTTCACCTCAGAAGTGTCCCTGCCTCCCCCACCCAAGGACCCCTCCTCCCTCTCCTGCTGAGAGTAGGACTTGGGAGAGGATGGGATGGGGAGGGGAGGGGAGGAAAACTGGACTGTCACAATCCTTTGTCTTCACAGAACAGGGTCGGTACTTCAAATTAGAAAGTTTAATTAAAAACTTTTGGTTTTTTTGGTGCCAGGGATTGAACTCAGGAGCACTTAACCACTGAGCCACATCCCCAGCCCTGTTTTGTATTTTATTCAGAGACAGGGTCTCACGGAGTTGCTTAGGGCCTTGCTAAGTTGCTGAGGCTGGGTTTGAACTTGAGATCCTCCTGCCTTAGCCTCCTGGAGCTGCTGGGATTACAGGCGTGCACCACCATACCTGGCTAATTAAAAATCTTTCAATGTGTTCTTAAAAAGTTATGTAAAAGATGGGGCAGAAGCTTTTGCTTTAAGCCAACTAAGAGAAAAACAGAGCAGGCCTCTGTCCTGCTCATTCTACATTCCTTAGAGCTTTTCTCTCTAAATAGTAAAAAAGGGAGAAGTCACCTCTGTCTGGGGTGTTTCTCTTATTAAAGCCTCTGGAGAACTCCCACCTGCTCGCACCTAGGAAGGGCCCCTGCAGGGCCTGGGCTAGTTGTGCTTCCATTTTGCTTTGGCATCCCTGGGGCCCAGGTATTCTAGAACATTCTACTAATGACTAGCTTGCCCTTGGGCATTTGTACTCTCGTCTATTATGAAAACCAGAATGAATTTCGGAATGAAACCTTCCAGCTGTACCACTGTTGATCAGACAGATTGAAATGGGAGCTCTGGTCACATCCAGAAATCTCCCATGCTCTTCCCCATTGTCAGAGACCCAGGTGACCTTGAGGATTCCCATCGACACAGCTGGAAAACTGTTTGCCTACTCACCACTCATGTCCGTGGGTCCAGCTTTAGTGTGCATCAGAATGACCTGGGGACAACCAGATTGCTACCCCACCCTGAGCTGAGCCTCTGCTGCAGAGCCTGGGGAGCTGCCCAGGTCTCTGCATTGCTGACAGTTCCTAGGGACGTCTGTGCTGCTGGTCTCGCACCCCCAGCAGAGCTCCACTGCGGGGGGGGGGGGGGGGGGGGGGGGGGGGGGGGGGGGGAAGCCATCTCACCCTGTTCACAGCTGGCAGGACTCCAGGCGGCTGCATCAGCAGTTGGTGGCAGATGCTCCTGCTCTCTGATTTCAAACGAAGCAGCCACAGCCAGGGAGCCTCGAGCTCCTGCTCAGCATCCTCGACTGACTTACTCGAGCATTTCCAAACACAGAAGCAGAGCTTCACACTTTTAGAAGGTGCAAGACGTAAAGCTTCTGTTTTTCCTTTTGTTCCTAAATCATTTTGCTGTTTGCACAGGATTTTTTTTTGTCTTTGAGCTCTAGCCTTGTGCTCTACCGCTGAGCCACCTCCCCAGCAAGCTGTTGCCTAAGGGGCTCCGCCACCATGAAGCTTTGTGGAATTTTTATTTAAGCAGACACTAGATTGAAAACGGAAGCATAAAATGGAGAATTTCTTTCTTTCTTTTTTTTTTTTTAATTTAGAAGAGGGATTACCCAATTCTGTTAACAGAATTTCTTTGTAGTTTTTTGTTTTTTTGTTTTTTTTTTTTGCGGGGGGTAATCAGGGATTGAACAGAGGGGCTCTCAGCCGCTGAGCCACATCCCTAGTCCTTTTTTAATATTTTATTCAGGGACAGGGTCTTGCTGAGTTGCTTAGGGCCTCGGTGAGTTGCTAAAGCTGGCTTTGAACTCTTGATCCTCCTGCCTCAGCCTCCCAAGCCTCTGGGACTGCAGGCATGCACCACCAAATGGCTCCTTTGTGCTATTTCAAAGCTACTTTGATGTTCATGAGTCAGATCTACACAAGCAGCGCACAGTGTGCCTAGTAAATGGGGTGATCTGTAGATTCATTCAGAACCTGTGGCAATTCACACGGTTCTGCCTGATAGCAGCCAAACGCTGGAAATGCAAAATCTGGCAGTTGTCAGATTTTGACAGTTTCACATCATTCAGATGAACGCAGGGTTTTGTCCTTCTCCTGGTTCTTGGCCTGCGTTATCTGTGCAGGTGGGTTTTGGCTCTATGAGAACATGGCCTGGTATCTCTGAGCTCAGCTTCTTTCCTTCTCTTTATCTCATGCCTCCACCATCTGTAACCTGGGCCTGTTACCCTGGGGTGCTCAGAGCACGTGAGGAGATTTTGCACCTGGGCTGAGCGCCTCAGGAGCTGCTAGCGATGAGGGGATAGTGGGAATTTGTGACCCAGATGTTCCAACCCAGACCAAAGCCTCTGCTATAGTTTTGGGATGGTGTTTATGACTCTTCCCCTAGTTAATATTTTCCTTCCTGCCAAGTCCCACTTGGGCCAAACTTAAAAAAAATAATAATAATAATTTTTCTCCTCTGAACACAGACTCAGTCTGGGAAGGGAAAGAGGATAAGGAAAGTACCAGGGAAGAACTGACCAGCCAGTTCAGGGTTAACTGTGCAGGAGCCACGCCCCCCCACCCCCCACCCTCTGAGCTGGAGATTAGCAGTTCAGTCTATTTGGGGCTGTTCCCATGCTCTGGGGGCTGCTGGTGCTCACATGCTGGTGCATCTAGCTGGTGACTGGAAATATCTGGATGTGCTTGCCTCTGAGCTTCCAGCCAATTGACAG